TAGGGTTCTAAATAAAAAACCGCAATTTTCGGTTTTAGCCTTGTCTCTCGATAAGCGATGGCAGGTACTGCTCAAACATATACCCAATGCTTTTGACAGGTTATTATTACTTATTATAACAACATTACAGTACGTGATAACATAATCAGACTTAACAAGATATACAATTTAACGAGGTTATAACCTTTGTAATGAAAAACGGGTCACGTATAAATTACCTTAATTTTTTCGGTTCTAAATTATATCGTTAAGCGGTTTTGGGTGAGATCTAATTTTTTGGCGGTTACACGTTGAATTTTTGGACGCGATTTTAGGGATATTGTTACATCGTATTTCGTTTAGCTGTGTTTATATCATCGTCTCAGTCCGTTAACATCCACTGCTGGGTATAGGCTTCCTCTTTTGCACGCCAGCTGAATCGGCCCTGTGCGAGTCTCATCCACAGTCTTCCGATTCTCGCTCGTACCGGGTGCCACTCAGTGACCGCCTTGGTCCATCGGTCATTGTCCCGCCTAGCACCGTATCCTGCCTATCTTCATTTTAGACTCGCTATCCGCATACCGACATCTACGACTTTTGTTTATTGTCGTATCTCCACGTTGAGTATACGGTCAACGAGGGAAATGATGAGCACGGTGCGCTCCATTGCCCTTTGTGCTACTCTGATTTTGTGCATTCCTTTGTGAACGGCCATATTCCGGCGCCGTAAGTAAGTATGGGCAGGACGTATTGATTTTTAGCCTTTGAGGGATTTTAGACTTAAAGACGTCCTGGAGGACGTTTTCCGAAGGCGACTCATGCCAACTGAATCCTTCTCGATCTCCCTGCGCTGTGGAGCCCGGCCAAAAGGTGAATAATGTCCAAGTGTCAACTACATCTAGCTGGTTGTTCCCAAACAAGACGGTGGGTTTTGAGACCGGACGCTTGGATGTGATCTTGGTTTTGGACTTGTTCATCTCAAGGCCGATAACTATTGAAGCCTCGTGCAAGTATTAGAGCATAGTCTGAAGATCGGCGGCGTTCCCAGCCATGAGGATCAGGTCGTCTGTGAAACGCATATGTGTTTATATACAATAAATTTATTTTGTGGAATATTAGGATGTTTTTTTTGAAGCGTGCACTCTCGTGGTGGTCCCATAGTCACCAAGTCAGAATCTGATGAGGGGATCCCATGAAAGTCGTAGGAAATCCTCAAATTTTATGGGCATGTCCGGGTATTCACCAATTTCTGCATCAATTGTGCACCGATTTTGAAAATTCTTCTTTTGTTTGAAAGGGTATACTTTCGAGATGGTCCCTGATGAAGTTCCGGGTTCGTTTCGACTATCACAAATTACTAATTATTTTCTGCAAATAGAAGTCGGCTTTTCACTTTACACAATAAGTGTAATCAACAAATCACCGTCAGCCGTCACAATGACAACCAGAAAAGAAAATATAAAATGTACAAAGGAATCCGTAACCATTGACTTACAATTATATGGACGTCGGGTCCGCGCTAAAAAGTGTCCGAACTTATAGGGCGTTAAAATCGTATACAGAGCGTCATTCACGCTTTAGTCTTCGTCTTCGACTGACAGCGAAGCAAGCAAAATTAGACAGTACTGCGATGACATTACAATTTAAATTCAACGTTTTAGCTTTTTCATATTCCTTTACATGTCACTACGTTTAAATAGATTGGCTTGGGACATTTTTTTCGTGATTTTTGTATTAGACCCGTCGTCCATTAATTTGTAAGTCAATGTCCGTAACAGTCCGATTGTCACCAAGAAGTCAGAATCATTTTAAACCATCTTCCTGGTGAATTAGGTGTTTTTGAAATAGGCTGCTATTCCATAAAGCTATTGTTGTATAGATATATATTACTCCACGATTATAGAAATGGGAAAATCAATCATAAACTTACCTGCAAGTTTTTATAACCAACAACGAAAGTCATCCATCACACCTTTGGCAGATTTCCAATAACTATCACCATGGACGTGGATTTAAAATGGTGATGCTAGAAATAGAGGTGCAAGCCTTGATTCGAACCCACGGTGTTTGTTTAAAAGGCGGTAATCTAACCCATTCAGCTAATACAGCTTTTTACTTTGTTGATTTTGCTATTGTGATATTCATAAACTTTTTGTGAAAAAATTCCATTAGTTTGTTGTTATTATTTATACAAAGATCGAATAAACAAATGCCTTCGTAGCCGATAGGGTTACCATGCTGGACTGCCACGCAGAGGACCCGGATTCGATTCCCGGGTTGATATGATATATTTTCTATATTTACGGAATAATTCGCTGGACACACTTAACGCTTACACCCTGTCTATTTTTTAACATTGTATTTATTTATTTTTTAGGTGTAACATAGCCATTAGGTTTGTCGATAATGAATATTTATTGCACACTCTGATTATTGATTTATATCCTGTCTATCTATTAAAAGTAAACCTTATACCTTGTGTCAGAGCTCCATCACAAATTTACGGGATAAGTGCCTACCGCTGAGTGCGCCGACGTCGGCGCAAGTGCTCGGAGAGTGTCGCGGTCACATCTGAATAGTCGTACGGCAAGTTTCGTAAAAAAATCGATGCAATGTCGAAATCGCATCATTATTGTGCAGTAGATTGTAGGTGCAGAAGTAGAAATACTGACAATAATTGTCTTTTTTTTTTCATTATCAAAATTCGAATAGTTATTCTATTATGTAATTTATTCTGTATATAATAATTATTCTATTATATAGTACAATCATTAGCGAAAGATATTTCTACTAATCTTTCACTAATGTACGGACATCGGCACACCAGACTACACATTTTTGTTCGAAAATCGCCTCCAGTGCAACGGAACAAGATACGTCTATGCTTGATGTGCTGGCGTGTGTACATAACTTACAAAGGTTGTAGGTACATACCGCCTATATTCGAACTGATAACCTCCAAATTGAGAGGTAACCGTTCTCCCATTGCTTTACTAAATAAATAATGCTAATTTCAAAGTAATTTCTAAGTCTGACAAATCTTTTATTTACATTACAACCCTAGCGCATTCAAGTCCGCACAATTGTTCACGGCAGGCTACGTATTTTCACCTCTCCGAGCGCTTGCTTAGGTTCCTTTTTCCTCGTAGTGTACCTACATCTGATGTTATTAGTTAGATTTAATAGGCTGTTGTAACGTAGGTATATTGAATTTTGTATGAGAGTGATGTATCTGTTACGTAGTAATAATTAAGTAATTTGTGTCAGTGTTTTGTATTGTATTGGTTTTTATATTTATACAATAAAGAGTATATGTATTGTATTGTTTACAATAATAATACCAGATAAATCTCGATTTCAATGGATTAAATTATTCTGTAAAGATAAAGGATTCCACAATGGACAGACAGACAGACAAGGCTGTATTTGATAAGGGTCTGCGTACAAATGATTGACTTTGCTGTTAATTGTTTCGCTGTCTATCGAAAACAATAGATATAAATACATAAACTCATGCCTCTGGAATGCCGTTGGGGTAAGCAGAAACTATCGATCACCACTTTACACGATCCTGACAAACCTGCTTTGCTTCACTTACATTCACAAATCTATTCTTCAGTTTTTCTTCACTAATCAATCTATTTTTATTAGCAGTAGAGCTCCTTAGGAAGAAGTTCGTCTAGAGAAGTAATGCTTACTTACCTATTTCTGCCGCCAAGCTGTAATGTGAGCATTACTGCGTTCCGGTTTTGTAGGATAAAGGATACTGATTACAGGCACATGGGACTTGTCAACATATATCTAGGGTGATGGGTGCAGTGGCAGTGCCCCTGAGACATGAGTTACTTTTTTTAACGTTGTCCAACGTTTTCCATGTGCCTGTAATTTCACCAGCACCCTTACCCTTCCAAACCGGAACGCAGTAATGCTCACATTACAGCTTGGCGGCAGAAATAAGTTTCTTTGTATTTTGAAGATCTTTGTAACAATAATAACACGAAAACATTGATCAAATAAACCTTTGAATTCATATGCCTGTCATTTAACCACTACCCTCGCCTTTCAAATCGTAACGTCGGCAAAAATAGGTATGACGGCAGTACTTCCCTAAACGCGCTCTTTCAAAAGGAGCCTTTTTTTGTTATTTAAAACCTTACTGCTAACGCTACGCCTTACCGCTACTGAACACATTTGAAATCTAAATTTTTATTGAATTGATATTCAATTATTTTTTATGTGAAATTAATCCATTGTTATATTATTCATACAAAAATCGAACACTCAGAAAAAACCGGACCTCACGAATTTTTCTATGTGTTTGTTGTCGTGTTTTATATATGGTTTTTTCAACGACTTTTTACCCGTAGCGCCATCTATGAGAAATCTTAAGTATTTCGTCACCCAGTTAGATACCTTTACAGCTACCAGCCCTGGCTAGAAATGTCGCTGTTCATTGTATTTAAGTATTTATTAAATTGATATTCAATTATTTTTTATGTGATATTACTCCACTTGTTTGTTATAATTATTAATACAAACTTTTGATATCATTTCATCAAACGTTTGATATCATTAGTCCAAGCCTTTGGATCAAAATCTTAATCCACTTGACTGTAACCTAGCAAAGTCTCAAAATTTAATTATCTGTGAGTCAAATTATTCATTAAGTCCACAGTCCTCAAACAGCACGTTGCACTCCCATACAGTACTACTGAAAACACTAACAAAAAACGGAAAGATATTGTCTGCCCCAAAATTGTATCATCAAAACGTGTTTATTTCCAGATTCTTCGTGCTTCTTGGATATACTATTATTGTTGGATATAATACTATTGGACATACTAGCTCTCCGGGCTAGTGCTGGTGATGCGGGTCGCAGTGACCTGCGACAATGTCCAAACATAGCTTGATTTAAAGGGCAAATCAGGTGCTCCGAGCGTCACCTCGCCTTAGGCCCTCGTCGAGACTGGGGCGAGCTCCTCGAGGGACTGCAGAGGGATCCATGGGGGCGGCCATACAAAATGGTTATGGACAAGCTCCGGCCCTGGGTCCCTCCGTTGACGACAAGCCTCGACCCTGCGTTCCTGGAGAGGGTGGTGGTCACCCTCTTCCCTAGAGTCGAGAGCAGTCCCGCCCCGGGATCGTCGGGACAAGTGTCGGTGACGGATGAGGACACTTGGTCTGACGATCTCGGCATAACAGACGAGGAGCTGGATCGAGCCGTGAGGCGTCTCGGTGCTCGGAACACTGCGCCTGGCCCGGATGGTGTCCCGGGGAGGGCGTGGGTGTTGGCTCTCCACGCCAGACTGGGGAACCACATGAGACGGCTGTTCACCAGCTGCCTCCGGAGCGGTGTGTTCCCGTCCGGCTGGAAGTCGGCGAGGATGGTCCTTATAAAGAAGGAAGGTCGACCCGCAGACTCTCCCTCTGCATACCGACCCATATGCCTGCTGGACGAGGCCGGCAAGTTGTTTGAAAGAACACTTGCCGAGCGGCTCAGCGGGCATCTGTCGCGAGTAGGGCCTGACCTGTCGGAAGACCAGTACGGCTTCCGGCAGGCGCGGTCGACAGTGGACGCGATCCTTCACGTTCGTACACTGTCGACGCAGGTACTGTCCCGGGGCGGAGTGGCGTTGGCGGTAAGCCTAGATATCGTCAACGCCTTCAACTCCTTGCCCTGGTTGACCGTTAAGGAGGCGCTCGAGTATCATCGAGTGCCTCCGTACCTGAAGCGAGTTGTCAGGTCCTACCTATGCGACAGGTACATTACGTACCCGGGTCGGGACGGCGCAAGCCATCGCAGAGAGGTCGTGTGTGGGGTTCCGCAGGGGTCTGTCCTTGGACCACTCCTTTGGAACCTAGCATACGATGCTGTCTTGAGGGTCGCACTCCCCCCGGGCGTGCATCTGGTGTGTTATGCTGATGACACCCTGGTGATATTATATTATATGGTGCTATTAGTGCCCCGTGGATTTCGAGGAGCACTTCCGGTACCCCGCCTGGTACCCCGGATTGATAGGGTGGCGGGTGCATTGCACCAGTTGCTGCCCAACCTGGGGGGCCCTTCGGAGGGAGTTCGCCGTTTATACGGTGGGGTGGTGCGATCCGTGGCCCTGTATGGGGCACCCGTCTGGTCACACCGACTGACGGGCGTCCGGCGTTGCAGAGCCATGCTCAATGGCGTGCAGCGCCGCATGGCCATAAGGATCGCACGAGGATACCGCACCGTATCCTTTGACGCGGCGACTGTCCTGGCGCGGTTTCCCCCGCTGGACATTCTGGCGGAGATGGACGCGCGTATTTACACGCGCCTCCGCCAGGCGGAAGAAGCTGCGCCGCCGGAAGTGCGGTGGCAGGAGCGCCGACGGGCGTTCGCGAAGTGGCGCGAGAGGCTGGAACAGTCGTGGATCTCGCGCCAGCGCGCCGTCGGCGCGATCCTGCCCAACCTCGAAGTCTGGTTGAGCCAGCGAAAGTGCGTCACCACGTTCCGACTGACACAGATACTCACCGGACACGGATGCTTCGGTGAGTATCTGAATCGGATCGGACGCGAGTCGACGACGCAGTGCCACCACTGTGGGAGGGACCAGGATTCCGCCCAGCACACGCTGGAGGTGTGCCCCGCATGGGCCTCCGAGCGGAACATCCTGGTTGCCCGGATCGGGCGAGATCTCTCTCCGCCAGGCATAGTAGCGGCTATGTTGGCGGATCAAGAGTCCCATGAGGCAGTGGTCTCCTTCTGTGAAGCGGTGATGCTTCAGAAGGAGGTCGCCGAGCGTGATCGGGAGAGGGCCGATCCCGCTCGGCGGCGGCGTACCTTCGCGGCTGCGGGCGATCGGAGCGGGGGCTCCGTTCGCCAGTAAGTTAGGCAGCCGCGAGGAGGACGACGGGGCGGTGTGGCCCGCTTCGTCGTGAGGAGAGGAGGGGGAGGACGTAGCTCCTCCAAGGTGCTGGGGGGGTTCCGGTGCGCAAAGTCGATCCCGGATCCTTCCCACTAGAGCACCCGAGAAGGCCACCGTGGGGTTTTAGCCGGTAGAAGTCCGGCATAACCACCCCCTGCCCCCGCGGCGGAGAGGTATCCTAGGAGGATTTCCCCATACAAAAAATAAAAAAAAAAAGGCCCTCGTCGAGACCTCTGCTAAGACGCGCTAGCTGTGCGCGCGGTGGATGCCCCGAACGCATGCTCCTGGGACAGAGGAATGTGTTCATCCTTGCCGTTTACCGAGACACCCGTGAAGGCGTGTCTCTCCACAAGTCCCTATCTTTCGGATCAGTAGATAGGGACATTCATACAAAGACAGACCAAGGTGTCCAAATTATAACCCTAATTACCTTATTAACCCTATTAAATGAATTTGTGAAGACGACTGACAACCACTATCGATTTGTTTCTACACTAGTCTTCTTAACATAAATTGCTTTTCATAAACATATTTTGTCTCCAGTGTAAGAAAGTTAATTCCTCTAAACTCTAAACTTATCTCTCGGAGGCATTTTGGATCACAGTTTGCAAATTGTCGTAACATCACGTTTATGCAGAACAGCGATTCTTCTTGTACCATTTTTGTACAATAAATTATACGCCAAATTGGCCATATATCATTTTTCTTACATAAAGGTTAAACTAATTGTCCAAGAATTCCTTCAAAATAATATGTCTTACGATGATACAAAGAATTTATTAATTATACCAAAATAAATGTTATCTAATTTAGGCGTATAGGTTTGCAATTTTATTGTTTAATTATTTTTTGTGCATAATTTAACCACACATCCACCTGTATAATTAGTACTTTTTACCTCAAATATAGGATTCTCCTAGTTCAGGTATATGTGTTATATAGTCTTTAGTTATTCCTTTGTACACTAAGTTATTCAATAAGCAATTTTATTTATTAATTCATAACTGTTTTTACTTGTCCTTCTAAAATATAAAACCATGGTCACAATAACTTGCAATAAGTCCAACATTTCAATTTGACAGAACAAACAAATCCGTGTTTTGTATCGCAATAAATGAAAATGGAAAATAACAAAAGCTACTGATAGGGATGGGCAATGTTCGGATATAGTTTTCGGCATTTATTATCATCAAAAGGCCGTAAAATTCGATTTTTAATGAGCCTTTTTATGTTATATCTTCAAAGTCCGTAATCAAGTTTTGAATAAATTTGTATGGTACCACTCTAAATGTATATTCCACTAAATAAAATAACCATATATCATTATTTATCCTGGAGAAGCGACCCATAATCATAGTACGTATTATAGTAGCAGTAGAGCTTCTTGTGAAAGAGTTTGTCCAGGGAAGTACTGCCACCTTGATTATTGCTACCGCCAGGCATTCCGGTTTTGAAGGGTTTTTTTTTATTATACCAAGGAACGGGACGGGCAAGTCGTGCACTTTGTGGTAAGCGACACGCTTATCTTTAATAGTTGCAGTGCCACTCAGGGCTTTAAATTGCAAAGATCTTGGAAGCACTGCCACTGCGCCCGTCACCCTGACATATAAGTTGACCCCAAGTGCCTATGATTTCACCAGCACCCTTACTCTTCCAAACCGGAACACAATAATGCTCATTACTGCGTGGCGGCAGAAATCATTACAGGCACATGGGACTTTTCAACTCATGTGTCAAGGTAACGGTCTCAGTGGCAGTGCCCCTCAGATTGTGATCAAAAGGTCTTAGTGGGACTGCAATTGTAAGCACTGGCGTGTCGCTTACCACCAGTCAATCAATATTAGCACCACAGCCCGTTAAAAAATAATACTAATAATAATTACTGAATTCTGTTTATTTTTTTATTCATCCAACCAACACCTTCAACCATTTAATAAAACAGGGAAAGAAACTTATGTTTCTTGGCCAACAGCTTCAACCTGAAATTGACTATAGCCAATTACAGGTTTTCACCTATAGCTTCAGACAAATCAAACACGCGCGTTAAAGAAACAAACAATAAAAGTATTTATTAACAACATGCACTTACTTAAATATAACAACTCAACACCTGCGCCAACAGTTACAATTTATTCAATAAAATTCTATTGTTAAATTCGGTTGTAAACCTTTGGTTGACTAAAAATGCTCCGTCGATGACATTTAGAAGTATTTTTGAACAAGATAAATACAATTTTTTGTATACAACATTTATGGTTTTTAAAATTTATTTTATTCTTTGACATGTGAGAGTTTTTTTTATTTTGATACTATAAAAAATTTATTTTTGTTGAAATTTTTGTGGCTCATATGAATATTGTAACTTACCAATGGCTCTAATAAAAGATTGCTTATATCTAATAAAAAAAATATTTTGTATAAAACTGCTTGTTGTATTTACATATTTCTTTTTAATATTAAACTTAATTTTACGATGATATTTTGCTAAACAACAAACTAAAATGGCCCTCGAACTTACGATCTCACACACCATGCGCTCTATGTGCTATACCATTTGTCGCGGGTATAGGAAGATTAAATACCGTATTCGTATTACAATAACTATTTGTACAAACGGGTGTGTTTACTTGTCTTGACTGTGATGAGCATGTCCTTAAAGAAGGATGGATGTTAGTATAACAACACAAATTGATAGAGCGAGTGTGGAGTGGAACGCGGGAAAAGGTCGTCCTCGGTGTACATGTCTCAACTAGATTGATGAAGTCTTTAAAATACCCGGGGGGTGTACTCCCGTTCTACGTCCCCCTTCGGTACAATTGGTCTACTTTCCCTATCGGTCCACTTTCACTATTCGTCTTCCTCCCCGCGTCCAACATCCGTCTGAAACAATTACTTTCAAATAAGTTGTTAACGAGCCAGCCATATTTACATATTTTATTACAATATATATATATATATATATATATATATATATATATATATATATATATATATAT